AGTCGAAATGCAACGTGAAGTCGAAACAATGATGACAGGTAGCACAGTACGCTCCATGCGACAGATGCGTTCGGTGACTCCATTCTGCGGATTCTCACGGCCACAACGCCGCTCTGACGCAAGAAACACTGCCTTCCCCGGCCATCCCAGTGCGAAGAACGGTGCGATATACACGTGGCGTGCGGCTGCGGCCGACGCGAGATGGACCAACATGGTTTCCCTCCGTCGTGTACTTGATATAGCGAGGCTGACTTGGTTTGGTAGTACGTGATTATATAATCACGTATATTTACCCCTTTACGAAACATTTACGAAACAAACTCTTCAAACTCTATATTATGTCGTCACATTCAAAACGGCAGTACTCGACCCAACAGCGTGCGCTTGACATGAGGAGCTTTTGCTGGTCTCGAAAACGGCAGTGCTCGACCCAACAGTGCGTGATCAAATGACCCGCATTCTCCTTGGCACATCGTCTGACTTGCTTGTAGACTTGGTAGTGTGCCAATTTGCGGAGGCGGCGGTTGTTCATCTGTTGGCAAGAGTTGCCCACTGAAGGGGGAATTCCCCCTTCAGTGGAACGCCGTGACTTCGAGGGCAAGCTTGCCCAAGACGGGCGAAATCAAGCGGTCCCCGTCGGTCTCGTCGGGTACCTCTTTCTGAACGAGCAGGTGCTGGCCCAAGTACAACTTGGTCACGTCATGGATGCGATTCCACTCGCGAATCGATGCGACACTGGTGCGGTACTGCAGCGAAATCGATCGAAGAGTTCACCCGGGCCTACAGAGCACGCGCCCGTCAAATCGTGGCGCTCTGCACACATCGACATGCCAACGACGAGCAGCAGCCACGTACCCAGAATGTGGTAACGCTTGCTGCAGAGCGAGCAACCATCCCGTGCTTGCCACCGCCACTGCCGAATACTGCCGTCTTCGGAAGCGCTGACATGGTGAAACCGGTCGACTCGCAAGTCGAGAACTTTGCATGGATGGCCGCGCAGGGTTTGCAGGAGGACACCGCTCACCAAGCCGGAGATACAAATCGTGCCGTCCGTCGCCCCCGTTACGACACGAAGCGAGTCGAAGGACAAGCAAGTAATGGCGCAGTCGTGCACGTGCATGTGGCGCCGCATCGCACCCGTATCGCCGTCCCACACCACCACATTCCCGCCATGATCGCCACTCACAACCTCGTTTGCAGCGAACTGAACGCACGACACAGGATGTACATGACCTTGCTTCCTACCAAACCAAGTCAGCCTCGCTG